ACACACACACACACACACGCACGCACGCACGCACACACACGTGGAATCTCCAGCATCGCTTCACCGCCCTCGGTGACAACTAACTCCTTGGCACGGTGTAGAAGCCCTTCATGCTCGGGGACCCTGACCCCCACCGTTCATTCATTCAAGAGCCAGCAATTGTCTCATTTTCTTCTGGCCGCCGTTCTGTGAGGCAGGTGCTGTTATCCCACGTCACTGTCCTCAAGTGAGGAAACCAGCTCACAGGGACTGAATGATTTGCCCAAGGTCGTTGCAGCTCCTCAGTGGAGAAGCCAGAGCTTAAATCCAAGGTCATCCCACACAGGCCTGCTCCGTGGCCGCTGTGCCAGCCAGCCCCGTCTCCCGCCTCACTGCCCGCACCGCCCGCACCCTCTCTCGCCATCGTCCCCGTGTCCGCATCGAGGCACACAAAGTTCCCGGAAGCCGTCGTTCTTCTGTCGTTTCCTGGCTGTGGCACAAATGCACGCCCCCGCCTGGCACGCGGCCTGCTCTCCCTTCAGAGTGCTGCTGGGAGCCCCTGGCCCGAGGGTCCTTCATGGCCCCGGCAGCTGCACCGGAGGCCTGATGTGTCACGGGCCTCACTCCGTTGCATCTGGTGGCCCATCCACCCCCCACGTGCGTCAGGGCAACTGGAGGGCAGAGGCTTTCTTCTCGCTCACCGTGACGTCTCCTGGCACGTAGTAGGTGTTGGCACGGCGTCTGTTGAAGGAGCGAATGGAGCTTGGGCGAGCGCATGGGCGCACGAGTGAAACGCACACATTGCATTATGACTGAGGCCGAGAGCACTTGCGTGAGCTGGGCGCCAGAGGCAGCAAAAGGCTCTAGGGAGGTGGTGGGGGCGGTGGGGCCAGGGAAAGCTGGCAGGGGGGGCAGCGAGTGCTGAGGTGCAGAGGAAGGGGCTGAGGGGAGACCGGGGGAGACGGTGGAGGGTCAGGAGACCCGGCCACCCCACACGCTGCCTCCTGTCCCCTCCTCCCCCTGCTCCCCGCTCTGAAAGCACCTTTCCCGCTCTTTCCCTCGCTCCGTCTTGCCTTCTCATTCATCCTCTTGACGATCTTGCATGGGGCTATTTTGGACCACATGTTTTATCCCTTGTCACCAGCCAAGCGGCCCTATTATATTAATTTATTGTCCTTTCCGGTAACTTGAAGCCTTCCTGTAAACCCCTCCTTTCCCTTGCTGGGTTTGCCCATTGCCAAACCACAGCTCCCAGCTCGCCCTCCTGCTCCCCGAGGCCAGGCATGGCTGGGCAACGGGCAGAGGCCTCCTGGGACCCTCCTGGCCTCAGCCCTTCAAGGGCAGCTTCTGGGGACCACCGCCTCCTCCTATCAGTTCCCGCCTGGGATCATCCTCTCTTGGGTCTCACCCTACTGGTGACAAGACCCTCGCCCCTCCTGATTTCTGGCCTCAGATGCCATCTCTCACTGACTCATGAGCTCCCTGGGGAGAGATGGGCAAAGATGAGGCTGGTCATGACCTACAGGGAAACTGAAGCCTGGAGAACTAGCCGGGCTCACCCAGGGTCACACAGGTCCCAGGGAAAGTGAGTCTCTTGATAGCCCCCGCCATGTGCTGGGTGTCGTGGTTTGTCCCCCGCTGGAGACCTGGCCCTGCCCTTTTCCCTGTGACCCTAGGCCAGCCCACACCCACGGGAACTCTGTGCTCACCATGGCAGATGAGACTCTTGTCCCTGCCTCGAGATTTGTGCGTGAGAGCGGAGGGCCGAAAGATGGCTCCATCGCCGTTCCAAACCTACTTTGCGTGTTCCAGCAGAAGGCACATGAACTTTGGAGATGGACGGCCCTGAACGCAAACCCCAGGGCCCACACTGGCCGTCGCTATAGCCAAAGCTAAAACACTTCGCGTCTTGCCGTCCCCGTTTTTCTATCTGTGCAATGGGAGTCATACCTACCTGGGCTTGGGGGCCACACACAGAGAGCGCAGAGACACTGGCCCTCATAACCACAGACAGAGGCTGGCCCCGGGGGTGTGGGGCCCTGGCTGGGGGTCCCTTCTCCAGCCAAGCCGGAAGGGAGAGGACGGTAAGTGTGTGACTCCCAGATCACCCTCTCTGGATGAGAGGGAAAAGTAGCGGGTCCACAAGGAACATCTTATCCGCTTTCTGAACCCGTGAAAGCGAAACATGCCATCTGCCGCCGTGTGCCAATCACCAGGGAGAGGGCAAGGGCTTCGGTTCTGGGAAGGAGAGACCAGACTCACGTGCGTGAGTGGGCGGTGGAGGGGGTCAGCTGCTCTCCTTCCCAGAAAGGCTTGGCTTCCGGTGAGCAAATTGGAAATAGCCACGCAGGGCCATCAATCACGACGGCACCTCCTGCCAACATGCCAATCCTGGCACGCGGGGCATCGTCTGTCATCATTAGCTGAGCTCGGCCCTGCGACAGAGTGGCTGGCACGACGTTGCTGTGGGGCCAGGGAGGGCACGCTGAGGCCTGCATGGAAGTGACCAGAGAGAAGGGGACGTGACAGGTCCGGGGCAGGGCGGGTTAGGAGTCAGAACAGAGCCTCTGGAAACAAGATGATTCTTTAATCCATTGCTTCATTTAAAAAAAAAAAAAATTTAATGTTTATTTTTGAGAGAAACAGACAGAGTGCAGGTGGGGAGGGACAGAGAGAGAGGGAGACGCAGAATCCAAAGCAGAGCCCGATGCGGGGCTCGACCCCACGAGCCGTGAGATCATGACCTGAGCCGGAGTAGGTGTGCCTTTAGCATCGTTTAGCATCGAGCGTCCAGTCCGTGCACAAAGCCAGGTTAGGGACTGAAGGCACCGTGGGGGCCCTCGTGAGATGTGTCCTCGAACAGCTTCCAGTCCAGCGGAGTGCTCAGTCATGTGGCAGGTGCCACAGCAGTTACTGATATGACCACGGATACGGCTCAGTGAGCACAAAGCGGGGGGCTTGCTTCTGCCGCGGGAAAGGACATCCGTGAAGCCTTCAGAGAGGATGTGCTTTGCTCCAGGCTGGCTTTTTTGAGGGGTGGGCGTTGGTGGGGGGGGCATGTGAGTTGCCCCAGGGCAGTCCGTGCACAGTGCCACCAGCTAGGGCGGCTTAACAACAGAAACATCTTGTCTCTGGGGCACCTGGGTGGCTCCGTCAGTTAAGTGTCTGACTTGGGCTCAGGTCACGAGTTCGAGCCCCACGTCGGGCTCTGTGCTGACAACTCGGAGCCTGGAGCCTGCTTCGGATTCCGCGTCTCCTCCTCTCTCTGTCCCTCCCCTGTTTGTGCTCTGTCTCTCTCTCTCTCTCTCTCTCTCAAAAATAAATTAAAAATAAAAATTAAAAAAAAAAATTTTAAGAAAAAAAAAGAAACGTCTTATCTCACCCTTCTGGAGGCCCAGTCCAGAGTCAGGGTCCGGATGCTCTGCGTGAAGGCTGCTAGGGAGAGCCCTTCCTTCCCTCTTCCACTTTCTGGTGTCCCCCACAATCCTCACTCCCGTGGCTGAGCTGCATCCTGCCCTTTGTCCTCACCTGGCGTCTTCTCCGTGTCTCTCTCTGTGTCAGATCAGGATCCACGCGTACGTAGTGATTTCATCTTTACTTGATCACGTCTGCAGACACCTTATTTCACAACAGGGACACCATCCCCCACGCGGCAGGGGATACAGCAAGGGTCCATGGGGAACATTTGAAGGCACCCCGGCCTCCCTCCGTCAAGAGCGGCAGCTCAGGTTCCCTTGGGGGAAAAGAGTCTCTCCTAGCATCAGCCGGTCCGCCCCAGGAAAGCCCAGGTGTGTCAGCTACACGGGAATAGGACAGAGGACATCTGTTAAGCCCTTGGGCCCCTTTTTTTTTTTTTTTTAATTTTTTTTTTTTCAAACGTTTGTTTATTTTTGGGACAGAGAGAGACAGAGCATGAACAGGGGAGGGGCAGAGAGAGAGGGAGACACAGAATCGGAAACAGGCTCCAGGCTCTGAGCCATCAGCCCAGAGCCCGACACGGGGCTCGAACTCACGGACCGCGAGATCGTGACCTGGCTGAAGTCGGCCGCTTAACCGACTGCGCCACCCAGGCGCCCCGTGGGCCCCTTTGATAGAAGGGGAAAATGAGGCCGAGAGCTATCAAGTGAGACAGAGTGACCTGGGGTCAGAAAAGCTGGGATCAAGTCCTCCCTTAAACTCCTCTGCCTCAGTTTCCCCATTGGCCAACCAGAGGGGTTAGACTAGGTGAGTTCCACAAATGCTTCTTACTCGAGATACTTGGAGCTTGTGGGAGGCCACGGCAGCTAGGGTTTTGCCCGGTGGCCAGACCTCGTACCTAGAAGGCGTGGGGCCCAGTGTCAGGAACACAAACCCTGTGTCCATGTGAACCATGGCGCCATGGATGTGCTCTTGCTTAAACCTGGCCCGTCTTGTTGGTGTGAATCCTGCCTCCGTCTCTCTCGCTTGCTTCCCAGCATGCTCTGCCAGGCCCAGGCTCCTCTGGAGAGGCCTGGGAGCCCCATTCGCTGTGGGGGACACGCTGACAATCAGGGGAAGCCAGGGGTGCCGCTGGCCGGTGAGGAAACCGCCTGACCTCCCAGGTGGACACCTGGCAGAGGACCAACATCGGGGCACCAATACCATCACGTCCCCTGCAGCCTTTGGTTCGGCCACCGTAAGGCACAAAAGATGAGCTGTAGGTTTCCAGAGCAGGCTCCCTCTGCTTCCCCAAACAGCACTGCCCGGTGCTGCCCGGAAAAAGCCACCTGGCACCAGGGCACGTGAGCCCAGCAGCCAGGCCAGGGCAAGGCAGGCAGGGGCAGGGGGTGGGGGATGAGGGGGTCGGACAGCCGGTCATTGAACCTCATGCCCCTTGAGCTGTGCCCGCCTCCTTCCTTTCCCATCCTCAGAGTTCACGCCCTGGGCCGCCATCTGATGGCCCTGACCTATGGGATTAGCAAGGAAAGGAGATCCCAGCATCCACCTACATCTGAACCCAGGCCACCTCCCGGTCACCAACCTTAACAGTGGCTCCGTTCGGCCTGCCTGTGTGGGATGCTTAGTAGCCCACCCCCAGGGCGACGCTGTGTGGTGGGAAGAACAGGATGGGCAACGCTAAAACAGGGGCCATGTGTGGCTAGCAGTCGGCCAGACCTTGAGTTCCTGGTTGTTAGACTCTGTCACAGTGGATCCTAAAGAAACCCGGGCAGGGCAGGTGTGGCGGGACCCCTCCTGTCTGTGGTGCAGAGGAGCAAAGGACAGCTCAGAAAACCGAGGTGCTGCCTCGGTGCCCAGCAGTTTGTAAGTGCAGAGATGGGACCCACCCTCCATCATCCACCTGCCAAGCCAGATCTTCCGGCCCTCACTCCAGGTGGCCTGTCAGCTTGGGCAGTGGCCGCAGAAGGGTCTTCACGTGCGGCTAGCACAGGCTTCTAGCCCCGTGCTCCCGAGACTGCTTGCAAGCCCAGCCCTGCCCTCCATATCCCAGAGAGGACCCCGCAGCTGACCGGGGACGTGCCCCTGAGCATCACAGCAGATGAGAGGAGGAGGGAGCGAGGGGAGGAGCCAGGTGACTTCCGGGGACAGGAAGGAGCACGTGGAACTTCTTCAATAGTCTCCCCCCTAATCAGCAGCTGGGGCCGGGGAGACAGAAGGCAGAGTGGGAGTCCTGGAGGGGGGATAAGCCGAAGGGCGGGGGGCCAGGGAAAGACCTTTCGTACCAGATTGCCTTTGGCTCGTTTTTAATTGGGATCAGACTGACTCGCGTACCATAAAATCAACCTCTTAAAAGTGAACAGTCCGATTGCATTGAGAACTTTCGCAGTGGTTACGGTCACCGCCTCTGCTTAATTCCACAATACCTGCATCGTCCCAAAAGGAGACCCCGCGCTCATTCAGGCTCCCAACCGCCTGCTAGCCACCAGTCTCTGCCCCGTCTGTGGATTTCCCTGTTCCGGGTTGTGTCCTATACGTGGAATCACACAACGTGCGACCACATTTTACTGTTCTGATGGGAGCCCCTGTGCTCTCGGCCCCAAAGCCCCTCCTCCGGGGAAATCTCCAGGCCCTGCTCGGAGGAAGCTGCCTCGGTGGCCTCCCCCAGGTGGCTCCCAAGGCGACTAATGTGGAGCCTCCAGGGGAGCAGCTGCCCCTCATCTGAGGGGCCTGTGTTACCACTCACCCCGTGCAGTTTGGAGGAGAGAAACCGCTTCTCGGAGACCAGGGCACACTGCAGACCCGAGCAGATCCAGATCCCTTTCTAAGAGGATCCTGGGGGGCTCAGTCGGCTGAACGTCCGACTGCTGCTCAGGTCATGATCTCGCAGTCTGTGAGTTCGAGCCCCGCGTCGGGCTCTGTGCTGACGGTTCGGAGCCTGGAGCCTGTTTCAGATTCTGTGTCTCCCTCTTTCTCTCTGCCCCTCCCCTGCTTGCGCTCTGTGTCTCTTTCTCTCTCAAAAATAA